AGCTGTGTGAGTTTTCCCCTCAAGTACACGAACCCATCACCTTGTTTGTCCACAGCCTTCACAAAATTATTCATTAGTCCCAGCTTGATGTGTCAAGGAGGTAGAAGTACATCGTTTGGGTCTACCAAGGGAGTATATATAATGTTGCCTTTTCCTGGAACAAACTCTTCTCTCTTTGGCCAGTCCTTTGTGTTGTAGTGTTTTTCTGTTGCTCTGCTGTCCCATGAACACAGAAAACAGCAATATTTCGTGAACCCTCCTTGAAGGCCGAGTAGAAGGGCTATATAACCTTCAAGTCGCTGCAAATCTGCCATCTATGCTCCTTGTATTTAATAGCGGTCAGTATTTCTCCATACTATCATACGTTTCCTTCAAACCTACAGAATGCGCTACTGGAACCGAGGGCTTCTGGTTCCCATTATGCAACAGTACTGCTTTCAAACTAAACTTGGAGGAATCTATGAAAAGCTGCCATTCCTTTGAACATAAGAACATAAGTAGTCTGCAATAGGCCGGTTGGCCTGTGCATGGCAGCTCCTGTCGAGAGTTACTACCACTCTCTATCATCCATGAATCTATCTAGCCTCCTTTTGAAACTTTCCAGAGTTCCAGCACTTACTACAAAGTTGCTAAGCTTGTTCCACTCGTCCACCACCCTATTTGTGAACCAGTTCCTTCCTATCTCCCTCCTAAACCTAAACTTATCCTACTTAAATCCGTTGCTCCGAGTCCTATCCTGCTCGGATATTATAAGAACTTTATCTATATCCCCTTTATTGATTCCTTTCACCCACTTAAATACTTCTATCACATCTCCCCGCACTCTTCGTCGTTCTAGGGAATGCAAGTTAAGTTTCTTTAACCTATCCTGATATGAAAGGTTTCTAAGTCCCGGAATCATTTTCGTCATTCTTTGCTGCACCGACTCTAGTGAATTGATATCCATTCTATAATAAGGGCACCAGAACTGAGCCGCATAATCGAGGTGCGGCCTGACTAGCGCAAGATATAGTTGCAATAAGACCTCTGCACTCTTATTACTTACACTTGTAGATATAAAACCCAATACTCTGTTCGCCTTATTTCGAACATTAACGCACTGTTTTCTAGGCCATAGGTCCGGGCTTACAAGTACCCCTAGGTCTCTTTCACAAGTCGACTTCTCTAGGTTGATGTTGTTAAGGCTGTATACATTGTCAGTATTTGTTCTCCCAACTCAGACAGCGGTCCATCTACATCAGTACACTCACAGAGGGAATCCTGCTTACTGTAGAATGAAGACAATGTAATACTGTATTTCTTTTCCTAAAAACAGAAATTCTTATCTGTTTCACTACCAAGTTCCATTCCTGCAGTCTGATGTTAAAAGTTCCGCTTGCTGTTTCGACAGACGGAGATCACGCACAAGATCATTAACGTTCATTTTGTTCAATAAGACGTGGTTCATTGGCAGTCTGGTCAATGAAAGGAGGATCAGGGGATGATTCTGGGATTTCTTCCTCAATTTCCTCATCCGAAGTTGAGAGGTCTTCCAAATTAGCCGGTGGTGTAGGTATAGGGAGGCCTTATTGCCGAAGGTACATTTGGATACTCAATTTGGTGAATTAACACAGCTTCGGCATTGTATTCTCTCCATTCTCTTGTTCAGTATTGCTAACCTTGCATTTAATAATAATTAGACCTGACTTCTACACATGTGCGACCACGACCTGCCCGGACTGACGCACTCTTAAGAATAGATAAAAAAAAAAAAAAAAAAAAATTTAGATGACAACATTTTCTATACTGAATAAGTTTCAGTTAATGAATGTCGTATAATTAGAAAATTAGGGCCCTGTGTACTTCAGCTGACTACATTGTGCTGATGCGTTCAGTCACACTGTATCCATTCCTATTATTTATTACTTCACTGTACTGTATCCATTCATCATTACTTACTGTACTGTATTTCATTATAGATTTTATCAAAAAAATTTTTTTTTTTTTTTTTATCTATGTCGGATTCACGACTATGTCGACTTACTACCTGATTTGGGTCCCCAACCCCGTCGAAGTTGGGGCTCAGGTGTATATCCTTCCAACACAAGTATGTATCTTATGTTCTACACTACATATAATAATATATATCCAAAAAATGTTACATGACTGACATTTTTATTGCCCACAAGTAAGAAGTCCAAAAATCCGAACTGCTTGGGGATTGGGTGTCCGATTTCGGATTTTCCGGATTCTCATGCACTTTAAAATTCAAATTTTAGAAATAAAGAAGAGGTGAATAGGTATTTTGATAGTTTATTCATTAGCAAATATATCATGCTTCATTTATCAAGATGAGCAGTTTTAATGAAAAGCCAGAATCAGAATTTTATTCTTGCCTTTTTTATATCATAACTGGATTTCCAATGTCGATATGTTCTCATTAAACAGTATGCTCAACACCACACTTAGTTTCAATTATTTCAAGTTTGCTCACCAATTCAACGGTTCTTTTTCTCTTCACACAACGGTTTATCCACTTAGAGCTGGTTGTACAGTACTCTGTAAAATGGAAAGAAGTAGACCAAAATATTGTTATATTACAATGGTATTCTATTCATACTGTGCTGATATAATGCATTCACGGAAATGTAATATTTTTGCTGAAATGACGTATGTATTGTGGTGTGAAAAAATAAGTCAGATTTAAAACAATTACTTTCGCTTTTCTTTCACAAAAGATGCTACCGAATTGCTTTTCTAATGTTATCACAAACTATTGTATTACAATAATATTCTATCCTAATTGACTTGAATAAATTTACGATACCATATTTCTGATTTTTCATTAAAATCCATCAAAATCATTTTCCTTGTCATCACTATGCACCGTAAACAGCCCCAGTCCTCCCTTGAACAGGGCTAGAGGTAACGTGTCTTTTCGAATCATTTTCAGTTAAAAACTATTACATCACACGATATTTTTACCTAAACTGCACCTGAAGAATATATTCTTGTAAATAACTAGTAGTTTTGCTGAAACGTGATGTATTTCAATGTAAAATAGATAAACATGACTAAAACAAAAGACTTTACCTAAGCCCATGTTCTTGAGATGTTACTCGCTTTATAGTTTCGTTTAAAATTCTGTTATATTACAATGATATTCTATCTCAAAGTGCTTGATATAATACATTCACGGAAATGTAGTATTTTGCTGAAATTACGACGATACAGTGAAAGTGGATAAAATCGCGAATAAAATCAATGACTTTCGCTTCTCGCCAAAAGATGTTACCATAACGCTCAATGGTTCAGTTAAAAACTGGCAATAATATTCTCCATTGACTTGAATAAATACTTGAAGAAATATACCATTTTGTTGAAACTCACCCGCTTTCAGTGTAAAGTGTCGTAATAATAAATGGTAAACAATTTGCCTTCGCATCAGAGCCAGGCACGAGCCCCAGTTTTTAGGTGAGCGTATATTTTTTCTGAAGGTTTTGTTGTTCCATCCCAAAACGTGGGTCGAACTATAAACGAGGAATATTATAATTAACAATGATTTCTTGGTCAAAATCAGGGTCGCACCTATAAAACCAGGCAGATTATATATACGTATGTTGTCAAAGTTTGATTGCTCGTTTAAAGTGGCAAACTCGTGGTCGCTTGTTGTCCCAGTAGCTGTGGCATCTAGTTACAGCCACAAGCATAAAAAAAAGCCCGCTAAAAAAAAAATTTTGAAAAGTCCCGATAACAAGCATTGCATTGACTGGATAATGCCTCCTCAATATTACCATGTAATTCAATTGATAGTAGGAACATCATAGAATCTAGTCTTATTAAATACCGCAAGCATCCAACATGAATTTGAGTAACCAGTATGTACAAGCTGGACAATTTTGTAATTAAGAAGATTTGTGATCAGAGGAGAAGGCCGGTCACTTGACCATCTGACCTGACCACCAACCGCTAGTGCTATTTAAAGATTAGTAAGGTCATTACCTAATACCTGACCATTGTGGACCTGGTCTCACCTCTGTATATATACACCTTGATTTGTATTACTCTCTCTGTCTGTACTCACCCCTGAAGATGTGAATTACTAAAGAAGTTGGGAAATTTCTGTGTTTTCTTTTTCCTTGTGTTATATATATATATATATATATATATATATATATATATATATATATATATATATATATATATATATATATATATATATATATATATATATATATATTCTATTAGCCCAATAGCACGCGGGACTTACATACAATCAGTCAATCATTATATATATATATATATATATATATATATATATATATATATATATATATTTTTTTTTTTTTTTACGGGCGAATTAGCCCATTTGGGCACAAGTCACTGACCCACATCGGGGCCTAGGGGGCAAAAATGTAATAATAATAATAATAATAATAATAATAATAATAATAATAATAAAGAACCATAAAGAAATACAAACATGAAAAAAAATCAAGAGAGAGAAACAATATATGTATGTTGTGTTGTCAAAGGTAAGAGAAACAATTGAGACCCTGCAATTGTGTGTAAAGGAGGCAGAAAGTCAGATCAGCAACCTGGGACTTGGTCACAATTTGTATGATGCCATATGGCAGCAGGGTCTACCATTAGACAACACATAATTCTTCCAATATCTTCCCAGGCAGTAGTACCTCCCTGTTTGGTAGCTACCTACTATTTGAGATCAGCACCCCAAAATTAATAAAGTGTAGCATATTTGAACCATCTTACCAAAACCTTGTCAACTAGTGTTATCAACTAAAGGAGGAGAGTTAAGAAGACAAAATCCCTTTGATTCCACCTTATCTAACAGTTGGACAGAAGAAGAGCCACCCCAGATATGAGAACATACTGTACATATAATGTTACCTATCCTGTGTAACATATTAGAACAAATGTATTATTATTGCACATAATTTGTATAGTTCCTTATGAAGACACCTTGTACAGCATATTGACAATATTTTCCTTACCCTCAGGTATGTGGATCGACTGGCTGATTCTCTCAAATCCAAACTTGCTATTGGGGATAAACTAGCCGAATCCCAAATAGCTGCCAGACAACGTAAACAAGACACTGCTGAGGAACAACGAAGCCTCATGCCAAAACTAGCACTCATCATTGACCGCACAAAAGAACTACAATCTCACATAGCGGAACATATCTCCAAGCGCTACAAAAATAGACCTGTGAACTTGATGGGTGCTTACATTAGTATGCAGTTGTGAATTACTTTGATATTAAATCACTATAAATTTTGTATGTCATTTTCATATTGCATTATAAAATACTTAGATAAAATACGTTTAATTTTCTTCATCTTTTTTTAATGATACAGTACAGTATTATGGAATATGACACAAAAAGGAAAATTATATTATTCTATGGTATCCTCCATTCTTATCAGCCTTTTCCCACTATGATGCAGAGTGACCAGAAGAATTACTAACGCGATGATTCTCCCTTCATTTACTGTCATAAGGTCACCTGTTACTGCATATAGCCTATCACCACCCATCAGCAACACCTAACTCCTCAAAAAAAAAACATTCAATGCTTTGCTCTCCTGCTATTTACAAGAACCATTGGTTCCTAGATTTTTTCTTCCTCCTCTGCTGAGAATCCTTCATCTCATCCTTCCATCTCAATCTTTACAAATTGTCAGTCCTCTCCTATTGCTTCCTACATTGTCTTGATTATCTGAGAATTTTTTGTTTGTTTCATGTACAGAAATGTATTGTACTTTATATAGTTCATAGCATTTACTTATTTTGACAAGAGCAATATTTTTTTATAGGTTTACTGTACTTGTTTAAATTTGGTAAACAAAAAAACCAATCCCTTGTCTCTTAATGTTAATTTTTTTCATAGAAAATCAAGTTTTTCATATCATAATTTATGTGTACAGTATAGTCTGGATTTACGCGGTCAATTGAACCCGTGGAGGTCCGCGTAAACGAAATAACAGAACATATGGGATTAATTGAAATAGAGACTGGGCCGACCCCAGACTACCCTTTTTCCGACAAAATACGTACATTGTAGTAAAAGTAACATCTTAATTTTATGATGGTATGCACATACAATTAATATTTAAGAGAAATACAGTCGCCGGTTAATGTCCGTTCAAATAATGGACTCAACTCCGCTTCTCTTCCCACGCCACATGGCTCTCTAATTCCCTCCTCCCTACCCACCCACCCACCCACCACCCACCTGGCACCCACCCAACGGCACCACCCACCCACCCACCCACCCACCACTCTTCCTGAGAAATGTTTAGGGGAAAAGACTAGGCTTACAGGTTTAGTGGAAGTCAATACCTCACACTAAAAGTTAGAGAATATAATTTACATTGCTGAATTTCTTAAGACAGCTAATAATTTGAATATATACGCTATATATTTTGCACAAAAGATAAAATTTTTGCTCTCTTTAATAAAATTCTTAAATTAGATCTAAAATTTGTATATCTAATGCAAATTTTAGCTTGTTTATATTCAAATTAATCACTATCTTATAAGAATTCCAGCAATGTAAATTATATTCTGGCCGGGTAATTTCTATGAATTTTATGAGCTAAAAACAAAAATCTTGAGTAAATAAACAAATTATACTTCACCAGACACAATATGTACATTGTAGTAAAAATAACATCTTAATTTTTTGATGGTATGCACACACAATTAATATTTAAGAGAAATATCAATAATGTTAGGTTTTTTAACGCTTACATTATTAGAAGAGATGGCTGGGCACACAGGGATGGGGGGGTTAGTTCCGAGGCAGAGGGCAGATTATTGGCCCTCACCTGTATCACTTGTATCACTATCCACCACAGAGGCTTGCAGGGCCTCTTTGTCAAACCCCTCAAAGTCCATATCCTCACTATCACTGACTTGGGCTGGCTGTGGTGGGTGAAGAACTCGGTAATGTTTTGTTGACTGGGCGACCTAGTGCGCACCCTGCCCGCGCCGCTTCCCGCGTAAATGATGGAATGTACCGCATAACTTATAATTGCCGGTCTGGCCAGGTGCCGCGTAAATGACCAAAGGCGAAAAGGAAATTCGCGTAAATCCAGACTATACTGTAATTGTTAGAATGTTGAAGGTGACGGGAGGAAAGTAAAGTTGTATTTTTTGTAATTGTGAACTTGTTAAAAAATAAAATTTATTTGAAATGCAGTATGATTTAGGATATTTGTTAACCTGTGTTTGATTGTTAGTCATCCTTGTATGTTAAACACTTCACTGGCAGATCATCTTAATGTGTATAGTAATGTTAATTTAATGGGAAGCTTGACTCAGTCAGTATGAGTTGGGGATGAATGTATTATTTTTCTAATAAGTTTGGTGCACCAGGTCTTTGTTTGATATAGTTAGATAATCTTACTCAGAACTATTTAATGCATGAATTAAAAATACACTATGCTCTTTCTTTGGTAAATGGAGAACATTACAATACAATAGAACCTCGATAAATCGGACTAATTGGGGCAGACCCCAGTCCAAAAAATGCCAATACCTGTATATGGGGGTGAGGGGGGGATAATACTGCTTATCTGACCTGTTTAAAGAAAATCAGTTATGTTATTACTGCACTTCAACAACTAAGGCCTTTATGTGTATAACAAGGTTATTAAAAGAATATTACATTAACAATAAAAAAAATGAAGCAGAACTCTCTGGGTTGAAAATGACACTAAGTCACAACTGTTGTTACCAAGTTGACTGTTATTTTCTGTAAAGTGTTATATGTAAGTAACCACAGAATTTGTCTTATGAATAAAGAGAAAACTGTAAACTGTACAGTACTATAAAGATAAAAATAAGAACAAATAAGTGTACGAGTATATTGTATGTGGCAGAAGAGTGTTTATCTGGGAGCAGCTGGCAGAGGGGGTTGGGGTGGCTCCCTCCCCCTCTCTCCTCCAAGATTCCTTTACATTTCTTTATGCAATGTCACCACAATTCTCATATAATTTAGGATTATTTGGTGGCAGTTTGATAAAATATTATCCTAAAAGAATTGGCTTTCTGAGAGGAGAAACCCACACTGAAAACCATGAGTCATTTGTTTACAAAGAGCAAACAGCTGATCAGGTTACCACAATGTTTGTCTTCAACATTTAGTAAATTAGTACAGTACAGTTGTGTATTTATCATCACTAAATAAATAATATTGTAGTGTATTTATCATCACTTAATAAATACTATTGTAGTGCATTTATCATCATTTCATAAATAATATTGTAGTGTAAAGCATTATGCATCTGCATATACTCTGGTTTATTCATTAATCATTTGTCTAAGTGTACAAGTAGCCAAACTGAGTCATCATATAACACTCTTAGGTAGTAAATAACATTGTTAGGAAGGTTTCTTCATATCAAATACTATACAGTGTGTTATAGAGACACCTGTTGTAAGCTGGTCTTTTGAAAGCTCACACGACTCATTTTGCGTGAATATGTAGCGTACTGCGTGATGTAGTTTCTCGCACTAAGGATGGAGGTGTATAATATATATATATATATATATATATATATATATATATATATATATATATATATATATATATATATATATATATATATATATATATGTATGTAGTATGTATATATATATATATATATATATATATATATATATATATATATATATATATATATATATATATATACATATTATTGTTAGAATTTACTTAACGCGGTCAATTGAACCCAGAGGGTCCCGTATGAAAACAAAAAGAACATATGATTAATTCCAATAGAACCGCCCCGACCCCAAACTCACTTTTAAGGCACATACCTATGTTGTAGTAAAATAACATCTTAATTTTATGATGGTACATGCACACAATAATACTTAAGAGAAATAGAGAAATACAGTCGCAGTTAATGTCCATTCAAATAATGGACTCAATCCCTCCCCTCACACTAATAGCCCTAACAGATGGTCATGGTTCCCACACCCCCACCAACCGTCCCAAGGAGATGGGATAACCTCAACTAAAGTTAGAAAATATAATTGACATTGCGATTCCTTGTAAGACCAAATATTTTTAATATAAATGTCATATATTTTGGACAAAAGATAACAGTTACCTAGAGAAAATTTTTATCTAAAAATTGTAAGTTTAAAGCAAAATATGATGTTTATATTCAAAATGATCACCAAATTATAAGAATCCAGCAATGTAAATTATATTCTGACCGGGTAATTAGTGAATTTTATGAGCTAAAACAAATATCTTCAGTTAATAAAAAAAAATTATCTTCACGACACTATCTGTCAATCAAAGCACCTGCCTCCCTCCCTCCAACTGCGGCTCAGTCCCAACCTCCCACCCCCCACCAATCCTTCCATTTAACATTTAGTATTAAATAACAACTCAGATTAAAGTTAGGATAATATAATTGACATTGCTGGATTCCTTGTAAGACCAGGAATATTTGAATATAAATGTCATATATTTGACAAAAGATACCATAGTTATCCAGAGAAAATTTTATCTAAAATTGTAAGTTTAAGCAAAATATATGATGTTTATATTCAAAATGATCACCAAATTATAAGAATTAGCAATGTAAATATATTCTGACCGTAATTGTATGAATTTATGAGCTAAAACAAATATCTTCAGTTAATAAAAAAATAATCTTCACATAAAACAGAATGGTCGGTCCTCCTCCCCACCCCCACCAACCGTCCAAGGAGATGGGATAACCACTAAATTTTTAATAAATAATACTCAAACTAAAGGATAATATAATTGACATTAAATTTTAAGATTGAGGGAATATTTTGATAAATGTCATATATTTTGCACTAAAGATAATATACTTATTAGAGAAAACATTTTATCTAGTAATTGTATGTTCAATGCAAAATAAGATGTTTAGGTTCAAAATGATCACTAAATTATAAGAATTCCAGCAATGTAAATTATATCTGGGTCGTAATTTGTACAATTCATGAGCAAACAGGAATAGGCAGCGGGGGCAAATCTAAAATAATGCTTCCAGTCAGACACCACCGCCAGACATGTGGAAAAATCCGTGTTATGAAAGTCTGTTCTGCTGAGGCAATCAGATATGATAAAACGCCATAAGGAACCGTTACATAAGTAATACTGTACTGTATTTTTATTTTATTTTTTTGATTTATATGGTGAGCATTCAGTTTCTCAAATCCAAAGGCACAGGTCCCTCGTTAATTAATCTTCACAATGCAGTAAATTTCACACCCAATCACCTTC